CGCGGCGCCGCGCAGGTCCCGGGCTGCGGTTTCCGGGTGCCCCCTCCCGTCGCCCCGACGCTGCACACCCACGGCCCGGGCGGCACCGCGGCACTGCGCTGTAATTTCCTCTTTTCTCCCCAGATTTTTTTTGTACACGCGCAGATGAGTTGCTCAGGGAGACGGAGACGTGGACCGAGGCCCCAGAGCTGGTTCGCAGCTGGCTGAGCCCTGGTGGCGAGGCTTCTCTGCTAGGGCAACCTGTCACCCTGCCGCGCCTGGATCCAGAAAGTCCCCGCGTCCTCCTCCCGGCCGCGCACTTCTCCCGGCTCGCTGTGCAGAGGGCCTCGTCCTCGCGCAGCCGCGCCCTGGAGAGCTGGCTGCCTGGGTGTGAGAGCTAGTTAGTTACCTGGGTGCAGCGAGCTACCTACCTGGGGGCGGAGAGCTAGCTACCTGGGTGTGGAGAGCTAGCTGCCTGTGTGGAGAGCTACTCACCTGGGTGTGCTCGCACCAACTCAAGGTTAAGGGGTTTGTGATTTGATGCTTCTTGGACGGCGCAGACAACAGCCTCCTAACAGGCCTCTGGAAGGTCCTGGGTCAGGTTGTTCCCTCCTCCTCTTCTCCAGTGTGTGCCATACCTGCCCCAGCACAGCTTCCGGGTGTGGTGGGGACAGTACGGTGGTTCTGTCTGCCTCTGTCTCTGTCTCTCTGTCGGTCCCAATGTGCCAGTATCAATTCAAGGCAGGACAAGAGCAGTGTGGTAGGTGGACCCTGCTGTCCACCTGACCCTTGTCTTCTGTCCCCACCAGGTCTCTTGCGTCCTTGAGATCCAGTTCATGAAAGAACTACTGTGTTTTCTCAGCTTGCCGTTACTCACTGGGGATTCTGCTGACCAGAATTTATTCTCTTTTTCTCTTGGCCAGTGATCAAGTTTGGAAACAGAGTCCTTCTCTCTTGGGTAATGACTTGCATCTGATCCTGTTTGCAGTAGGACACCCGTCACAGGTGTGCAGACTCCTGTGCCTTCCCGTGTGCAGAGCAGCCTCCTCAGCTCGCCCTAGCTCTGTGGTTCCCACTCTGGCCGGTAGCTTCCCTTTGCTTCCAGTTTTCCCACCTCGGTTGTTCACTTTCCACCTGTTTCTACATTTCACTTGTAGCATTTTTGTGTTATAATTCAAAAAGTAGATTTATGGATACAATTGTTGGCCTAAGGAAGCAAAATTCATTTTATTTTGCAACAACAGCAGTAATATTCGTATCTTGTTTCTTAGCTTTGAGTAATACTAGCTTATTATTATAATTATCTTGTATTAAAAATAGAGGCATGGTCTGCAGCGTAGGAATGGAGAAACAGGTACAGAGAGGTGTAGAAACTGCCCTGGTTGGATGCCCGCTGATTTTGTGCTTACTCTGTCTGGGGGTTTTGTTGGCGGGGGAGAAGATGGAGGAGTCCGGGGGGATGACACTCTAGGCTCCTTACAGAATCTTCACTGTCAGCCAGCACAGTGCAACGGAAATACAAAGTGAACCATGCATGTAGTTCAATATTTTCAGTAGCCACATTTAAAAAGTAGAAAGAGGTGAAATTTATTTTAATAATCTGTTTTATTCAACTAGGTATGTTAAAAATATTGTCATTTCTGCATGTAATTAATATATGCATTGGAATATTTTACATTATTTTCTACTAAATCTTCAGAGTCTAGTTTGCATTTTATACCAGGATACATTTTATTGGGGACTGGCCATGTTTTAAGGGCTCAGTAGCCACTTTGGCTAAGGGTTATGGTATCTACTGCCTAACACAGGTTCTGTGTGCACACGTGCGTGCGTGTGTAGAGAGAGACATAGTGGAGGGTGTGACACTCCAAAGGTTAAGATAGACATTTTCAAGAGAGTGGCAAAAGTGGAAGCATTTAAAGCAGCCTCGAAGGACCATTTAGTCCAGGCGGAGTAAACGTTAACCTGAGAGCAGGAGCGACCCCGAGTCTCAAAGTTAGTGAACGATGAGATGTTGGGAGTCGGCAATAAGCCTCAGCTTGAACTTTTCCACCTCTTACTGTGTAACTTGGAACAGAACGGGGTGGGACTTCCTGTTTCTCCAAGTGTACATGGACAAAGGCCGGATAATGACTGATTTGTAGAATCCATGGAGGGTGCTAGCCATGAAAGTGCTTTTGCCGAGAGCATTTATAAATAAGAAGATGTGATGCCCTGAAAACTAAAGAGCAACTCGGGAAGCCTGAAGTCCCTGAGACAAGACATCTTTCACATCTCATATACATTGGTCATCCTTGGCAAAAGGAGATTTAGGAACTAAACAATGCACAGTCCACTCTGACTGCTTTAGGGGTAGCAGTTTTTACTCTTATATTTCATATCCCCAGGTGAACCTTTGCGTGATCGTGTCGTCTGTCCTGTTACACGGAGGCTGGGAGGTGGGTGGGGTCCTGTTACAGGTCAAGGAAGTAGAGGTGGGCAGCACAGAAGTTTGGGCTCTGGTATTTTGGCCTCCTGCCAGATGCCTGCATGTTGCAAAACCAAAGCCTCATTCTGAACTCTGAGGTCCATCTGTCTTGTCCTCCTCGTGCAGCTCGGCAGAGGGAGACTCGGAGAGATGTGACAATGACTAAGATCCCTGTACGACGAAGTGGTAGACTGCACTTGGACCCCAGCTCCCCCTGATTTAGTACAAAGTGGAAGCGTTCCTTTTGGGCTGAGATGCCGGTTCAGCCCAAATGCATTGTAAAGTCCCTGAAGAATAACCTGAAGCAGTCCCCATGCTTTCAGATTGGTTGTGAAATAGTCAAAGTCCCCTCCTCTCTTCCTTCACATCTGACGTGGATAGAGGGGTCAGAGACAGGCGAGCTGAAACTGTCCCTTCATTGCTTTTTGTGCAGATTCCAAATCAATGCCCCAAGCTGGCCAAAGTCATACTCACCAGTGAGCTTGCAGGTGCCAGCAAGTTTCACGTAGAGTCACTCTTCAGCTCCTCCCCACGGCCCAGGGAGCGAGTGCTGTCCATCCAGGCCTGTTTTGTAGAGGAGGTGCACAGAGGTTAAGGACCTGCCAGCGTCATCCGGCTGCTGAGTGGCAGAGCCTGGACTCAGAGTTGAGCAGCCGGGCTTGGAGCCGCAGCGCCAAGAGCCTCCCTGTGCTGCTGTGAGACCAGGCTAGTAAAGGTCTCTGGTAGTAGTAGGGTCAGTGAAACGCTGCTGCAGGCAAATGTTTCTGTGGAGCCTTTGAAAACTCTTAGTTGTCTCAAAGTTCTACCAAGAGTCTGAACCCCACACCGTTGGGGAAGGGCCTGCACGCTGAACTGTCCTCGGTGTTAAGTGCTGAACACCTCATTAAAATGAAGCAAGAAACGTGTGGCTCTGGGCAAGTTCTGTGTCAGAAAGCTGGCCCAGCCCTTCTGTGTATATCCAGTCTGTACCCGAAGTGAGTGAATCTCTGCCCAGCACAGTGGGTGAGAACCCTGCGGCTCTGACCTCTGTCCTACCCTGGATCTCAGGCTGGTTCTGCTCATGGAGCACATAGAGGGATGCTGGTCTGGTGGCCTCTGAAAGTGTCCTGCCTTGGGTGTGGAGCCCAGCCTGGCATTTCCGGGGAAGCTGGTGCATGGCGAGGGGGCTGAGCCTTCAGTCAGTGCGTCTGTCCTGTCTCCAGGAGAAGTGCACTGCTGCGACAGGGGCCAAGCTGTCTGAAATCCTCATCCGAGGCTTCGGCACTGCCCTGCCATTTGGGAACCATGATCTTGAATGTGGTGCTTAAGCTTCTGAGCATCGCTTTCTCTGGATGCATGGGTGTTTACAAGTAAGAGGCCTTTGGCGATTAGCTTATAGGGGGCGAGGGGGCCGCTTCTCATTTCCTCTAAGATGAATATGACGACACCCTCTGCTCAGATTTTATGAACTGTTATTAATGTCCTTGGGTTTACCTCATCGGTGTTGACGGTGGTGGCATCGGGTCCTGGGTGTGCTGACACCTGTGTTAGAACGGCCCCTTCCTCTGTGGGAAGTTGAGGGAGTACAACGGAGGAAGGGTGAGCACAGGGGGAGTGTGGCCCCCGGAGCATAGTGGGAGTCCACGGCCACCACGCCCTTGAAATTCTGGGCTGGGAATTGCTTGTCATGGCAGCACCCTATACATTGTAGACGTTTAGCAACCCTCTGGACTCCGCCCAACAGGGGATGGTTACCTCCTCCCTTGTGACAATCAGAAAGTCTCCAGGCATCGACAGACAGCCCTGCGCCCAGCTGAGAACCACTGGCCCAGGGCTGTGTATCTCAGAGTCTGCGGGGACCTGTGAGATGTGGAACTGGACAGCTGTCAAGGGGGGACCGGGCCTGGAAGGCTGAGCAGCCCTGTCTAGTACACAAAGGCCGGGCGGTCTGCGTGTCTGTGCTGCTAATGTTGCCTTTTCCACCGACAGCAGCAGTGGCTTGGCCACCTTCATAATTCACCCATTGATCCATTTCCCTGTGCACCCATCCGAGTGTATCACTGAACACCTGCTGTGGTCAGGGCACAGCGCTAGACCCTGTAGTGGAAATAAGGACACGAAGACTCTGCCACCCTCACTGGGCCCAGGCATCCAACAGAGGCGCCCTCCGCAGGAGGTGAGCGAGCTTCAGCGCGGCCAGCAAACGGGCAGTGCACGGGGTGTGTCTGACCCCTCTGCTCCAGCCAGCCCTCGAAAGGCTTCTCTTCTCCTCTTGATGTTGATTTTTATTTCACGCTGGCAGAACAGATGGTTAAGGTACCACGGAGAGCACACAGACTTATTCTCAGATTCTTCCCTTTATACGTCTGACCTGGTTAAGTGCATGACCAAATGACATTAAGAAAGCCTGTGACATTCAACCCTTCAGGGAATCTACCAAAGTTTTCCCCATCCTCCCTGGCTTTGAAACCCAGAAAGTCCTTTCTGAGCTAGGAAGAATAAAGTTTCCACCCCCACCCTGCACGCAGGGCCTGGTGCTGGCTGCTTGAATAGGAATTTATCTCCTGCATCTGCGTGGGTGCGGTTCTCGGATCCATGGCATCCTGAAGTACTAAGACGTGTGTAAAAATAAACTAAAAAGATTTCCTAACTTAGAAGCAGTATTCTTGTGGGCTTAAGTGGGTTTTTGGGGTCGAGGATTTGGCCCTTTGGGTTCCGGACGGCGGCATTGCTGCACTGGGGGTGTGGGTGTGGTGGGTTTTGACCGGCAGGAGCGGCTCATCGGGGAGTCCTTCGGTGATGGCAAGTGTTTCTGCAGGAGACTGCCTTGTTGCATGTGCCAGGCAGTCTTGCAAGAGCAAACAGGGATCTTTTGACTGGCGGAACGCCAGAGACCTGTTGCTCTGTGGTTTCTGCTGTTTCTTCACCCCTGATTCATTGACCAGTCCCGAGGCTGGATGTGGGGCAGGTTTGGGCCATGAGACAGGGAACGAGACGGATGTGACCTGCCAGGGTTTGACTGTGGTTTGTCCACACAAAACTCTGACTGAGTCTTGGTCCTTCAGGAAGTGGTGTTGAGAGGAGGGTGACATTTAGGTGACATTTGGGACCCGGAGACATGCCCTCTTGATGGTTTCATGGTTTTCTTGCAGCTATCACGAGAACTCAGTACCTTTTCTCCTTCCACATAAAAGTGGTCAAGAAAATAAAACAGGATCATAGGGAAGAGGGTACAGGGAGTGTGCTGGTTGGGAGAGGCCCCGTAAACTCGGAGGAAGGGCATGCCTGGCAGAGATGAGGGGGTACGCCAAGGTCAGACTCGGTGAGGATGCGTGGCACCTGTTCTCTTGGAGTAGTAAAGCAGCTGCAGGTTGCACTTACACACTGTATTCCTGCTCTGTCCCTGCTTCTAGCCCAGTGACGGTGACTTTGCTGTCCTTGCTTCTGGCTTGCACTCACGTTCTCTGTGCATTGACTGCTTGTCTCTGCCATCTAACTCAAACTGTCCCTCCTCCTTGGTGCCCTCTCTAGCCATCTGTCTGCCAGAAGATCATATCCTTTCATTGCATTTGCCCCTCATCCGAGACTGGGATTATAACAGTATCGGGGAAGTAGATGGGTCAGAGCTTTTCAATTTCAGGTTTGAATTATGAGCTGGCTGCCGTGGAAGTTTAACTGTTCCTGGGCTTCTTACTTCACCTGCTGGGAGCCAGCCTTCCTCTATCGTATTGTGATCTTACATGGAAAACAGTCAGAATCTGTCTGCAGAACTGAGGGTGAGCCATAAGCTCTCCATTTCCAGTCCTTGACATTCAGGCTCACTCTCTTGGTCTGGAATGTGCAGCCACCCGTTGACTGACGACCTCTGTCCTGTCCTCACAGGGCTTGAAAGTATTTTTGATGCGTGTGAAATGCCTGTCTGAAATCACCTTCACTGAGCCACGCCCCCCATCCGGACTTCCCGTCTGTGCCCCGGCATCGCCTGGGTCGAGCCTCTGCTCCTGCACTCACCCCAGGGCCCCGATGCTGGGGGGCTGTGCTTCCCGCGCAGACCAGACCCCCAGCCAGGGCATAGGTTATCTGCAAATACAGTGTCACTTTATGGAAGGGACCTGAGGGCCTGTGGGTGTTGGCATCCTTAGGGTGTCCCAGAGCGAGCTCCTCAGAATAGACGAGTAGCAGCTACACTCACCGGGCCAAGCAGGCAGCAGATGGGAGCCTGAGGCTGGATGTTCATGCGCCACAGCAGGACCTCAGATGTGTTGTTTAGCTAACACGGTATTAATTTTCAAATGTTTTTAAAAATTGGGTCATTTCCCAAGAAACCTGGGTGCTGGCATTGGGGGCCCCACACCACGTCTCTGTGTGTCCCTGTTAGCTGTTATCCTGTGGTCACCTCCCCAGAAGCGGGAGGTTGCAGCAGGCATGGGATAGGGCAGAGGCAGAGGACACAAGTGTGCTCAGTCATGAGGGGTCTGGCTGGCAGCGTTTCATGCCGAAAGCTGCCTGAAGCTCTGACGGGATTTAAGCTGAAGTGTCCCTCAGCCAGCTTCGCCATGAAGACAGCTTAAGGAGTCCCCCGGAAGGACAAGGCCAGAAGGAAGAGATCACTAACAAGCTAAGCAGAGGTGCTGCGCTTGTGCTCAGGAGAGCAAGCTGGAGAGTTGTGAGGGTTACATGCTAGCACAGCAGAGGCGGAGTCTCCTGGCAGAGGCACAGGGAGGCGTCATGCCTGGAGCACAGCCCCCAGGGCCACAGAGTCCGGGGCTCGGGAGAAGGTAGGGAGAGGGTCCCATCCCTGGAAAGGGCCTCAGAGCAAAGAAAATACATGACTGCTAGAGAGTGGTCATTTTTGAGGGTACCCCAGGAATGCGGGACCCCAGATAGTGAGGACCCTTTGTTTAGGTAGCACTATGGGGAGGTGATGGTGGGAGCTGAGACCAGGACAGGGATTGGGAGGTCAGTGTTCTGCCGAGGTGGGGGTTCCTCCTCCTGCATTAGGGCTCAGTCTTACGTGTCCTCCAAAGCCCACACACTGGAGGCTTGCTTACCAGCCTGTGGCACCACTGGGCAGTGTTGGATCCTTGAGCACCTGACGGGAGGAAGTTGGGTCTGGGGCATCTCGACGGTAATCAGGTCTGTGGCCGCTTCTTGCTGCCTGGCTCCTGGGGTCAGCAGAGCTCTGTTTGGTGCTTGCCCTACCCACCCAGGACACGAGCAGCAGCACCAAGTGAGCAAGGACTGAACCCTCTAAGTCTTGAGCCTTTTAGGATGTTTCCCTCAGGTGTTCTGTTGCAGCTGTGGAGCCGTGCCTGACCGCTGTGGTGAATATTTAGTTGGAATGTTTGGCCTTCCTTTTCTAGGGTGCGGAGTTGCCACTGAACATTTCGATCTGGAAAACGACTCCAGAAGAGTGTAACTTTATTTCAGTTAACATGATGGATTCGAGGTGCATCTGTCTTCTTACAGCGACTCACATTTATCCTTCTTTACGGCAGAGTAGTACTAAATCAGAGTACTGCTACACAAGCTTGAATATCGCGTGGTTTTTCACTTAAGAGACGTGTAAATCAAAGAGCAAAAGATTGACAGAAGGAAACAGGGATAGATCTTTTGCAAAAGGGAACGGGACCATGAGATTGGGGTGGGGAAATGAAAAAACAGAGAGGTCATGCGCCTGCACAGCTCCCCACCACACATGTAATCGTTACAGACCGCAAACATGGCCTAATAAAAAATTGTAAAGCAGGGTGGCATCTACAGAAGCATTAAAAAAAGAACGAGGTCTAAGAAAATTAATTTTCCCTGATGGAAGAAGTACAGCAGCTTTGCTGAGCCCATGTGTGAGCTGCGGCTCTGGACCAGTGTGGAGGACAGAGGACAGCGGTGGGAGATTGCTCTCCATGGGGGTGGGGAAGGGAACCTGGGAAGCAGGAGCCGGGAGGCCTGTGGCTGGGGACTCCTGGTCGTTCATCGGGGGCAACTGGGAAAAGGTGGCACCATCGGGCAGGAGGAAGTGATGAAGAGTCCAGCAGGAGGCTGAGGATGAGGCCAGAGGCAAATTCGCAAGGTAGACTTGCAAGTCAGAAGCCACAGTTCTAGGATGTCCGAGCACAGCAGTGAGCTCACGCGTGCATTTAGTTTATTTTTAAAAATAACATAACACATATTGGTTTGTGTTTAATAGAGAAAGTAGGAGAGAGACAAAGAAAAGCAAAAATGGGCCATAACTTCACCCCCAAATATTCCCTTTTGACTGAACAAAAGATAAATTGAAATGTTTCTGCACCCAAACCGTAGGGGAACGTACACTCGGAAATGCAGGTGTCAGCTGGGTGCTCCTGTAACCCCTACACTCTGGGACTTAATCCCCGACATGCAAAAAGAAAAAGGCGCAGAAGTCACCTTCCAAACCTATCACCTCAGTGTCCCCTCCAGACGCTGGACATGCACAACTTTACCTTTCCTATTTACGTACTTATTGCAGTACCGGGGATTGACTCAGGGTCTTTGTACTGAGCTGCATTCCCAACCCTTTGTAAAGTTTGTGATTTCTGAAACTGTCTCACTGAGTTGCTGAGGTGCCCAGGCTGGCCTGAAACTTGTGTTTCCCTGCCTCGGCTTCCCCGGGATCACAGGCCACTGCACCTGGCCTGCCTTTGCTTTTGGAAAATGACATTTCCAAGTCACAGTACGTAGTAGCACTGAGATCTTTCTAACTGGTGCATCCATCTGCAGCTTTCTAGTGTGGTTCCTTTCATGGTGTCGGGCAGCTGCTCCTCCCGTGTGACCACCCTCTCCCTCGAGGCTGCCCTGTCCTTCGCACGGTGGACTGGACCTCTTCCTCCAGGCTCCCCGTCCCTCCGTCCCTGAGAGTCCCTGCCTCTGGGAAGTCTCCATGGCCCCAGAAGCTCCCCGAGTCACACCTGTACTCCGGTGCCCAGCACAGTGGTCCTGCGTGACAGAACTCTGGTGAGCGCTTGGCCCTGGTCGTGGTGATGGATTCCGTGACACTGGACCAACGCTTTGATTGTCGTGCGTGACACCTGCCAGCCCGATGGAGGCAGAGCTGTTTGCAGTCACTGCTGGGAAGCAAAATGACCGTGCACTTGCTAAAATGTCGAGGGAGGCTTCATTCCAGGCTACTGGACCGACGAATCCAACTCCCCATCCAAGAGGGGCAGATAGTGAGTCACAGGCGGGGCTGGGCTGATGCAGGGGTCTGGAAAGCACCAGCAGGCAGCACGCTGGACAGCAGGCAGAAGAGGAGAGGCCCAGGGGCAGTGCAGGCTTGGGGGTGTGCTGTCCACACTGTCCGCCCTGTCCACACTGCCTGCGTGGCCCAGAACAAGGCCTGGCGGAAAGGAGGACTGGAAGGAGGCCTACTGAAGTTCATTCTGAAGGGTCACTGTCTCTGGGGCCAAACAAGCCACGTGCATGACCTTCGGTATCTGATGTCACAGCCTAATAAAAAAACGGAGGCCCCAGACTGAAGGGCCGCAGGTGGGAGGGCACCGGGCTGCGAGCAATGCCGGGATTGCAGTGACGTCCAGAGGAACTTGCGTTGTGCCTGTGTTCGGACCAGGAAGGGTGGCAGTCCCCTCTGCCCTTCCTCCCAGGAGGGTCCCAGAGGCTGATTAGGCTTGGAGCAGGCCTATCCAGCATCTCAGCTCCTTGCCGTGAGCCTGCTGCTTTCCTCGTGTTCTTAGCAGCAGAGCTAACCTGGGGACCCACAGATACCCATGGGCATGAGTCAGCCCAGAACATCCTACTGCCCGACATCGGGGCTCCCCTGGCTGTGCCGGAGCAGTGGAACCACGGCTCTTCCTTCCCGGAGTGCCCATGTGCTCGGTGTGTCCCATGCCCTCGGGCTGTCCTGTGCCCACACAGGCCGACCCTGTGGCTCTGACAGTGGCCGCTGCAAACCCCAGTCGTGTAGCGGGAAGGTGCTAGAAGCAGCCAGCACCCGTGAGGAACCAGACCAAGGGCGCTACTGGCTTCTGTGGGATGGACAGGATCAGGGACCAAGAAAGGCAGCAGCAGGGTGGCCTGTGCTGAGCGCAGGGTGTGTGGCCAGGGCATCCGCGCCAGCGAAACCCACTGCTGTGCGCATTGGGAATTGCATCAGTGCTGTTGTGGATATATTTCCAGCTTCCAGACAGTGTCCGCATTTAGACTTCGCAGCGTTCCCACGAAGGCCTGGCAAGACGGGTGCTGGAGCGATGCACATTTTTAGTACCTTGCATGTGGTTCAGCCTGTTCACACACCACTTGACAGCTCTTCATTCAGGGGCCAGCGGGACCGGAGCTCCACGGAGAGGCTGTGTTTGGTGCCTGTGGAGCTTTCCAGTCCAGCACAGGGACAGGCCTGCCCCCCACCAGTGTCCCCGAGCAAGGCCACAGCCCCAGACCCAGGTCCTGTGCCTCTGTCAGGCAGGGCCGTGCTGGGGCTATGCGTGTGCTCCAGGGCGGGCCTCTCCTGCTTGTACAAGGCTGGCTGCTTGTGTCTGCCACACTCACACCTGTGTCTCTCTCCTAGATCCTGCCTGGCCTGTACATCGGCAACTTCAAAGGTGAGTTCTCTCTCTTTTTTTTTTTTTTTTTTTTTTTGGTTTTTCTCCGGTACCGGGAACCGAACTCATGACCTTGCGCTTGCCAGGCAGGCGCTTTTGCCGCTGAGCTAAATCCCCAGCCCCCAATTCTCTCTCTTTAATTACCGTGGTAAAATACAGATAAGGTGACATTTACCCTCTGAGCCACTCTTCAGTGCGTGGCCCAGTAACGTAGGGACAGCCAGCCACATGTGCTGTAAACATCGCCACCACTCACCTCCAGAACTACCTGAAACCTCTGCTGACTAGGCACTAACTCCTCCTCCTCCCCGGTCCCTGTGACTGCGAATCACATAATAATTGTCCTTTTGTGACTTATTTCTCTAAGCCTAGGGTCCTCAGTTCTTCCCCATTGTTGCACGTGTCTGAATTTCCTTCCTTTTAACACTGAGTAATATTCCATTGTGTGGACAGGGCACATTTTGTTTTCCATTCATCAGCTGGTGGACACTTGGGTTATTTCTACCACAGGGGAGGTCACTTTGGGAAAGATCCACTCTCAACTTTGACTTCTTGCACCTGGGGACAGGCAGAGGGTGGACTCAGTGTACACATGTCTGTTCTGGAGGAGCTACCATTTGCCTCCCTGCCCAACCTCTCAGCCAGAGCTGGCTGAGGGGAGTGAGATGTGCAGGCCCCCACGTGGCCTCGGGTCCTCCCGGTAACCCTTCACACTTGGTGGAATGTAGTCATCCCCAGACGGTGGGCAATAGACACGTCGACCAGCCTGCAGCGTGTTTCAGTCATCTGCCACTTCCATTTGCTTATTATTGGTACTGAAGTTTCAGAAACTTATTTTTTAAATTGCCTGGGAAATGCTTTTATCTCTGGCGCACCCTTCCCTGCTGTGTTCCGTATTATTGATCTGTGGTGAGCTGCTGGCTTTGTGCTAGTCACTCATGCGTTTGGGTGGAGAAGAGGGGCAGAGCTAGGAGGAGCAGCTGTGGGACACTTGCAGCAAGTCCCCACGCTTCACGGGCTGCAGAGAGCCGCTCCCGGCACACACGTCCAACCCGTCTAGTTCTCCTCCTTCGCCCAGCAAGCTGGGACATGAGCAGAGTCTAAGCCACCTCTATCTGTTTTCTGGCTGCGGATGACATTTGTGAGTCCAAGTGCACTTTGATAGTGCAAACAGTCTTGACCATTTCTCTGCCTGGTACATATTTCTCTTCTTCCCCCACCCTCTTCCTAGGCTGCTGGTCAGCCTCAAGGATGGTTGAGGAAGGCACCTAAGCTGCTGATTGCTACTAGAACATGCTAAAAATAGTCCCGGAGTTCCTAAATCAGTAAGCTCTCTGGTTCTGAGAAAGAACTAACTGCTTCGTGGTAGGTAGGCTAAGTGCTGCTAGGGTAGAGATAATAACTCTTTTGAGAGTTAAATAGTGCACTGTTATTAACTGCTTTCATGGGGTGTGAGAACAAAGTTTAGGATAAATTCTTAGAATTGCTAGTAGGTATGTTTACAAATTACATCTTTGATAAATATCAACCAAATTTAGTATTTCTGCCAGCAGTGTATGAGTTTTAGCCTGCCCCATGGAAAGCTACCTTCTTTTAGAAGGACATGCTTTCACAGCATTGGGGAAATATTTCACACTTTTCATACCAAACCCCGTATTTGTCTTCCAAGTACTCAAATGCATAGGAATCCCTCCCAGTTCCTGGAGTCTCACTTTGTGGTTTCACCTGCTAGGATGATGTTCTGAGCAGCCCACACCCACTCCCTGCTCAAACTCTGGATGCTTTGTCCTTGTCTTAGATTATCCGGTATTAGTTTGAGGTCACACTGCATTTGCTTTAATTTACCGTGTACTAAGCACCTGACCCAAGGCTCATCTAAATCAAAGGTGGTAGTGCTGTGCACCAGCAAGGAGCTGGAAGCGGGACAGGCGTTGGGCCTCTGGTCCTCAGGTGTGTGTCCCGACGTCCTCTTCTGAGACTTCAGCGTTCAGGGATGAGGATGGGAGAGCAGGGGAAATGCAGGGTGAGGAGAAGCAGGCCGATGGGCTTTCCTGGAACCCAAGGCGCACTGTGCCTGTGAGCCAGGCATGTGCGTGCAGGCAGGTTGCATGAGCGGGGCATGCAGCCGACGGCGGGGACAGTGACAGCCTCTCAGGCCACGGCGGTGCCCCAGTGCACAGCAGCCATGCTCTCTGTCAGCTCCATGCCTGCGGCCTGGTGAAGCCAGCGCCAGCTCCCATCTGTGAGATGTGACTTCCAGCAGGCTGACTGGTCCCGTGAAGCCCACCTCTTTCTCCTGGACCGTGGGGCCAGTGGTCATCCGTGCCGTAGCCGGCATCTCACTCCACCCTTGCAAACAAAAGGAGCCTTTGGTGCCACTGCATGCAGTCTAGCCACGTGTAAAGAGCAGTGAAGAGCTGCCCCCTCTCCCGCTCTACAGCTCCCTTCTCTCCACTCCTCCCTTCCTTTACATTCCCCTCTTCCCTCCTGCCTTCCCTTCTTTTCTTCTTCCTCCCTTCTTCCTACCCTCTTCCTCCACATGGGATTCCTTACATGGCAGTCTGCAGCTTCCTTTAGTTTTCCAGCTTGGCAACCAATCAAAGATGTTTTCCAGCACCTGGCGATTTCTCCACCTCAGACAAACCCAGCTTCTAGAGCCAGGTCTTTGATGCTCTGCCAAGCACCTCTTGGGAACAGCACTCTGGATCCAGCAAGCAGCTGCACCCAGATTCAGGGAGGGAAGAGGGCGTGGAGGAGGACGAGCTGCCCCTTCTGGGCTAGAGCACCTAGGGTCTACTGCTTCTGCACAGCTTAGGGTTAGGGGTAGTGCATCAGTGGAAAGGGAGCCCTCCCTCGGTAAAATCCTCACAGAAACATCTAGTAGAAGGGCAGGAACATGCTCTGGCCCTCTGTGCATGTGGTGAGGTCTCAGAGCTTCAGTGCCATGTCTGCCATGAGACAGGCACACTGGCCTCTGCAGGGATGGCAGCTGCTCACGAGTCTGCTGTGGGCTGGGCCTCAGTGAGCTAGTGATACTCTTGTGTGCAGGGCCAGGTTTGAGCATCTTCCCAGGAAGTGTGGATCTGGAAACGTTCAGCAGCGGTGCAAGTGGAGCCCATGCCACCACTGGATACTGCACCTGATTGCAGTGTAATGATAAAGATCATGTATCTGTCCATTTTCTGTTGCTATCACAAAATGCCTGAGTCTGAGTGTAAAGAAAAGAAGCTCATTTAGCTCATAGCTCTAGAGGTCCCATTGCATGACCCGGGCCCCTGGTGGAGAAACGAGAAGGTCACATGCAGAAGGGGCCAAGGAAGCGAGGTACTGCCGTAGGACAGCCTGCTCTGGAGAGAATGATCTCTCTCGCCACAGCTGGAATTCTTCCCTTAGAGGGCAGGGACCGCAGCCTCACAAGCTTCCAGGACCTGCACCTTAGGGAACGAACCGCACCCACGCCATAGCAGACAGAGCTGAAGATGACACACTCACCACCTGCCTGGCACTGCTCCGAGTTCATTCTGTCGTTCAGTGTTTACGGCAGCACTTTGGGCTGGCTTTTCTTACATTGTTCCTATTTTACAGGTGAGGAAAGGGAGGCACAGAAACTTTTGCTGGGGTCAGCATCCGTGACAGAGCCGGGAGGGTCCAGCAGGAAGGAATCAGACCCAGCCCAGGCAGATGTGTCCACTCTGAGTTTGAACCCACCAGCAAGTAACTCAAAATGCTGGATGTCGTCATCATTTACAATCCCCTGTGTGATGCTGGACAGCATTAAATTAAGTTTTCAGTGGGAAGCAGAATGTGAAGCGAGGTTGACACCTCTGGCCTGTTGGTCCACACATTCTCGACTTGGGAGCCAGGGTCATGGGGAGGGCACTGGAGTGTGGCTGGTCAGGGAGGGGCAGCTTCTGCCTGCAGAGCCGGCCTCTGCCCACCCCGCCCCTTTGCCCTACCCGCCTCCCTCTGAAGGACTGCGGATGTTCTGTCCATGGAGTGCCCGCTTTTCTGGAGGAAGTGTGTTGGCAGAGCTCATTTAGAATGTCTGCTCCAGTATGCTTCGGTTAATTTTATTTGAGATGGTTCTGCTGGGCTCTTGCCAGGCCATTCATTTCCCATAGCCATTCTGGCATTCCTGTGCCTTAGGATCTGTGGCATCCGCATACCAATGTGCTCAGTTCCCCTTCCGAGGGGTGCGTGTGGCTGTCACTTTGCTCTTTGAGGACAGCGTCTTCTAAGGGAGCCATGCACTATCCCAGTGTCCAGACAGGACTTCCGAGGGGACAGTGGCTGTGTCAGTACCTGCCTGTGTGAGGGAGGCCCCTAGGGTAAACTGAAGCAGCAGGGGGCATGAGTCCAGGGGCCAGGGCAGGAGTCGGCAGAGAGAGAAAAGTGTGGTCAGCAGTTACAAGCAAAGGGCTGACTTTTCTTTCTTCTTTGCAAGGCATTTCTATCAGAGAACAGTAGATTTAGGGTGTTTTCCTTATTATAAGTCATGTGGGCTCATCAGGAAGACAAACGAAAATTCAGACATGGCAGAAATCCGTTAAGGAGAGTGACACTTCTGTGACCCCACGTCCTGGGATGCTCTTGGCTCACAGGACAGCGCCTAGCCCTCCAAATGTCTCCTCCTGTGAATTCTAACCTGCACCCTGCCCATCGTTTCATTAATTCAGAGTTGTGTTTGTGAGCACAAGTGACTCCTGAGTGGTTTGTAGGCTTAGAAGTCACATCCCTGTGCCACACTGGGGAGGATCCTGTTGGTACCACCAGGGCAAAAGTCACTTGCGCTGGGGCCTTCGCTCTGTATTTAGGGTGCACATCACCTCTGGGGTTCTGATTAAAATGAAGATTCTGGGCCGGGGCTGCACCCTGGACCTGCAAAGGCAGGTTTGCCTGGTGTGCACAAGGCCCTGCATTTAAGCCATATTCTAACAGACAGTGCAGGGGCTGACTCTTCAGTTGGCGGGCGTGGGATCTGGATGTCTGACGTGCCCCACGTGGTGCCCTGCTGTCCCTCACAGAGCCCACACTGAGTACCACTGGGCGGTGTTGTGTGCCCAGGACGGGCTGGCCTGAGCTGACGGGTGTGCGTGTGTAGGGACGTGCGATGACCGTGGCGGCCCTCACCACTGCGTTCACCTCTCACCCCAGAGCAGTCAGCCGTGTGATGGCCATGGAGGTGCAAGGCTGGGCGCCCTGTGCACAGTGCGGCGCGCTGTGTGCACTCGAGGCCGTGTGCGGAGCCACGCTCCTAGGCAGAGTGAGTCCACGCTGCGCCCGTGCAGATGGCGCAGTGACGAAAGGAAAGGCAGCTCTGCCCACGGCTCGCTTCCCTTTTCTCTGGGCCCAGCATCCTGTCCGTCTCGTGTGGTGTCAAGTGGATCGTTTCACCCCCAACCACATTTTAAAACTCAGCCCATCGTGCAGTTATATCTAGGGAGTGAGGAAGATGTGCGGAAGTGAGAGGGAGATGCTGGCAGCACAAGTCTGTGAATGTGCTGCACTCCTCGGGTCACACGCTGTAGGAAGCGTTGATTTTATGGCGTGCATGTGAATTATATCCCAGGAAAGTCCTTAGAGATGAAGAAAAATGTCATTGCCACTTGATATCTACCGCACTGGCTCCGGGAGCTCCCTTGGGTACCAAAATCTGTGCCTGCTTAGCTTGCTCCTGTAAAACTCCACAGTGTAGACTCTCTGCACATCCTCCTCGATACTTTAAATACTCTCTACATTATTTACATACTTTCTAAACATACTATTATGTTTTAAATGTACTTTATACTGTACGTTAAATCATCTAGCTGATTTGTAGGATCTAAGGCAGCGTAAGTGCCATGTATATAGTTGGCAAACTGTGTTTGGGGAATAATGACAAAGGAAAGGGTTTGCACATGTCCGGTACACACATACTATTTTTCAAATATTTCTGATCCAAATTGGTTAAAATTTTCATAGGCATAACCCATGGATACAGAGGGGCCAGCTATATGTTAGAACAAATACTGATTGTTAAAATTCCTTATGTGAGAAGGCCAAAGTGTGAATAAATTAAAGAGCAAAATAAAAGACAGATAACAGGAAACAGAGAGAGATCTTTTGCAAATGGGAAGAGGACCGAGCCATGGAGGGAGGAGAGGAAAGGGACGTAAGCGGAGTGGAGCTGTGTTACATACCTGTACCGACTCCCTTTGTTGAGTGTAATGTCGTGCTGCAGGCATGTACTCATAAAAAGTAAAAATTAAAAGTCACATAAAGGAAAATTTCAGGGTTGCTCCATCAGCCTTTCCCGCTCCCCTTGGTTGTCTCCAGGCTCTGAGCCCCCAGCTTTGTCTTGTTTCGCAGGTGACAGCTGGGAGACGGAACTTTGTGCTGCTCCGGGGGCTGCCTGTGGGTATCTAAGTCATTGTCTTCCTGCCTGTGTCGCCAGCCTTCTCTCCTTGTAGTAAAGCCCTGAGGCAGTCAGCTGTACACCAGGAAATGTTCGCCTCGGCCAGCTTGGATGTCTCTTCCGGGCTCCGCTGGCCCGTTGAGGGTGTGGTGGGGAGCACGTCGAGGTGGGGTGTGTGGCAGGGATTGCTGCTCAGCTCATGGCAGCCGGGAAGCAAGGTGCCAAGAGGGAGAGGACCCAGGTGCCACCTTCCCATCAGGGCTCACCTCAGTGGCACAGATCTCGCGCTGGGCCCCATTTCTTACATGTTCCACCTGTCCCAAACAGAGCCAAGCTGGGAACAGATCCTTTGCTTCACGGACTTCTCGGGGGCGTTTCAGATCCACCCTAAGCGCACCCTCACTGAAGCTCTTTTGGCTGATACTGCACCCGGAACTGGCACTCGGCTTGTGCACAGCTGCTGTGTATGTCAGAATGTGAGGCTTAGATGGTAGGAGCCCTGGAGAGAGCCTTACAGCAAGGCTTGAAGACTTTTTCTCAGCGTTGGTGAATATTCAGAATCGCGTCCTTTAAATACTGCTCCATCCCCAAGACTTGTTCGAAATGTAAATTGTTTGGTTCCAGTGTAGATGTGGAACTAAATGGAAGCCCAGGAACTTGCCTTTTGACACCCCCCAGAGAGTTTGATGGGTGTTAAACTCTTAGAACTGTATACCTGGAGAATAGTAAAGCCACTACACTCCAGCTTTTGACACGTCAGTGTGCCAGTCCCATAGTGTGTGCTTGTCCTTACATGTTTTTACAGTGAGTTTACCTCGTATTTGTTATTTGGTCCTTGCTTTTCTCCCTTGCTTAGCATCGGGTTCTCCCACGTCATTCAGGAGTCTCTGGGAACATGACAGTGAAGTACTTGACTTTTGATCTTTTTTACCCTGTCTCACTGTGAAGAGTGTGGTCCAGCCGGGACCGCAGGAGAGCTGACTTCCTTCCCCCTTTTTCCATGGACTCCTGGTTTGTAGACTCGTGGAGAGTTCCCACTCAGGGATCACACCATTCTGTTTTCTTTCTACAGGTGGGGGAGAGAATCTTCAGTCTCATTTGCAGATAATTTCAGAGCCAATTGCTAACCGGTAGTGATTCTGCTTGGAATTTCTGGAGAGGGTTCCTTTTTTCCTTTTGCTGTGGAGTAAACATAGGCATCGTAAACCACAGTCCTGTCTGAACCTACCCCTGTTGCTGTTTATATCACGATCAAGAAGTACCTGGCAGGTTCTTCTGTCTCCTAGAGTAAGCAGGTCTTTTGTATTTATTTTCCAACTTAGATTACTAAGCATTAAGAGGTAACAGGGTTTTTTAGTTTTTTAAACACCTTCATGGTTATGTATGTCATGTGAAAAAGACTGGCCTAGGGATTGACAGGTTACACACACCTGACTAAAATGGCCTCACAATGTCAATTCCTTTGAAAAGCAATCATCATGGTTACGGTGTTTATTAATCTAAGTTCAGTTCAAGTTTAGTGTAACACTTCAAAGGTTGTACCAATCTGAAATAAATTTAGTCAGAATATAGAAAAGCAGTGGCACTGAATTCCTCAAATCTAGATTGCTGTGGGTATGGTCAATCGTGGAGTTTCAAGCGAGAATTCTACAAGTCATGTTGTATTGTTTCCTGCCAAGACTTTGGGAGTGATCACCTCACAGAGAATATTAAAATGTCCATCCCTGTCTTCGATGACAGATGCCAGAGATGTGGAACAGTTGAGCAAGAACAAGGTGACACACATTCTGTCTGTCCATGATAGTGCCAGGCCCATGTTGGAGGTAAGAGAGTCCTGGGTGTGTGTGTGCTTTGTCCTCTGCAGAATGCATGTGACCTTCATGCGGGCAGCCATGTGCTCTGGACCCCAGGGCCCTGTGACTGCTGGCAGTATTCCTTTGGGCTCAGGCCGTACTTGTGTTTAGGACCTGCCCGAAGCCAAGCGGAGGGTGTTCTATTCCCCTGACTATACTCTGCTATCTTGCTTCCTTTGGCTTCCTTGGCCAGCTGCCAAAGAATTATCTGGTGTCTCATTTTCTTCTGGATTTGAAGGACACTGAAAACCTATTTTGAGAGCTGAGGATGTAGCTCAGAGGTACAGTACCTACTTAGCCTGTACAAAAGGCATGGGTTCGATTCCCAGCAATGAAGAAAAGAAAAGAAAAAAGAAAAGAAAAGGAAGTTTTCATTCTTTCAGAATTATTTTTGGATTCAGGGTTCAAAAGAATTTAGGCTGCTCCTTCCCTGACTTTCTCTTCCATGTAAGCTCAAATACCTGCCATCCAGGAGTAAAAGACAAGGGAAGGTAAGTTATCCCTGGTGACTCCCCAGGCTGCTCTGGGATAGAGAACATCAGTATAGAAGCTGTTGTTGTGTTTCACTCAGGCTTTCAGGGTAAACAGGGTGTGTCTGCTTATACACTAATTCCAAAAACATCTTCAATTTTACCCTGATGCACGGTTTGAGCCGTTGGCCAGGAGTAAAATCTATTTCTGTCTATTAGCCCCGACACAGCCCAGGTTACCTCTTTTTAGAAAACAGGGCATGTGTGGTTGTGATGCATGTGTGTTTTTCTATTGTAGGGTGGGGTGTTGGAAAGGGAGGGGTGCCTTGTTCTGAAAGAAATAATCCTGGTTCAAGCTGTTTGTGTTTAAATTTGTATTGAATTTGAAAGGCAAGCGGAGATGATTTCAGTATTGTACGAGAAGTTCAGGGAGCTCACACTTCCTCCTGTTGTTTTAGCTCATTGCTTTTTGCTAAGGTCCTAGAATTGTGTTGCAGCATGATTTTAGAGGAAACCTGGAACATTCCATTTTTTCTTTCAAAGACTAACTGTTCCTTTGGAAACAGTTCCTTCATTTTTTCAATCTATTAATGATAGTTTATATTTAAGGTATAACCAAGTTGTAGCCAAGTTCAACTGCAAAACTGGTCATGATTGACTTCCTCTAAAATCACAAGACGAGGCCTGAGGTTTCCTTTATTTTAATAAATTACATAGAAGGCCCTTCCACCCTACCCACCGGGCCCTCCTCGCTACTTTATACTCCGTTTAATGGGGCCCTAAATGTCTTCACATCACCACCTCTGTCTAGATGCAGAGCGTGGAGTGTTAGAAATGAGGACAGTACTGGCCCTGGCTGTCCCTCCGCACCCTCCCACCCCTGGAACCCATGCTATTGCGTAGAACAGGTGAGATTGTAACCCAGGCAGAGGCCAGCATTTGTTTGAAACCTCAGAGCTGGGGACAAACTGTGCTCCCCCATGTGTATTTTGTTGTTGTTCCCCACATAAAGCTAAATTCTGCCTTGAAAAGGAGAGGGTTGGGAAGAGGGAGGAAGAGAAGAGGAGAGGGGGGAAGACAGGGCACAAGGAGAGAGAACAAGGAAAGGCAGGGAGGAGCAGGGACGCGGGACAGGAAGGACAGGACAGGGAAGCAAACTGCCCATATTTGGTGGCCTTTGTTTGGAGACATCCTGTTTTAGTTTTGGGTGGTGTTGTTACCCATGCTTGGTAATAAGCATTTCCGTGGGATTCATGTTTGTCAAGAGTTACATTCCAATTTTATAGCATACCATAGTTCAGTATGGCCTCTCTTGTTTTAATCCTTTTTAAATTCACAGGTAATTTTTGAATGGGTTCTTACAAATTTTTTTGAACAATAGCTTCTTTGACAGCATGTATGGGAAAAACAGAGTCACCAAAAGGCACAGTACTTGAATTGATGCACACACGGTAATTAAGTAACTGGAGTCCCAGGAGCAGTGGGGATTTGTGTAGCAGAGTTTTGTGTGAAATTTCAAATTCAGTTCCAGAAGCCACAGCCTCACCAAGCTCGAGATGAGTCCAGGAAATTTGGTTTGGAATCAGGAGGGAATTAATGCATAAATTTGATTATTCAGTAGCTCCATGCCATGTTGGCCTTCGTCCCTTCAGGGCAGTAGGGGTGGAGGTAAGAGAAAGGCTGTGTGCAGGGTTAGCGGGGTGAGATGATCCCCTGACTGGTGAGGGCTCAGGTTTTGGGTGGAGGAGTGAGGGTAGAAGAGGAAAGAGCAGGACCCCTTCATTTTTTTAGCTTTCCAAAACCCAGCGTCTTTGTTGAATGGCCTCTGAGTTGCTCTGAGCACCTCTGATTTGGAGGGGGGATACTGTCCAGAACTGAAGGGTTTTGGTTCCGCTCCGTGCGGGCAGCAGTCCTGGGAGCCTTGCTTCCAGGAAGCCAGCACCGAGCACCATGTCGTGGATGCCTGCTTGGGTCATTACCAAGAGACATCTCAGTGGGCTTAACTCGCTGAGGCACTTAGCGTCAGTTAGCAAGGGCTTCTGGATCATTAGGTCTGCCTTTCTTTCGAGTGTAGTCATGTTGAATGTGGTTTCTAGAACTGAGGGCAGAAACTCGGGGTTTGAGTGTTCTCAGAGGCTAGGCTGCTGAGCAATGGAGGTAGGGTAGGATGCTTTGGGGAAAAATACACTAGGAACAGAGCATACTGTAGAATCCTCTAGAAAGCTTACTTATGTGGAAGGAATAAAGGTTGGCCAGCTTAGCGTGCAGACACATATTTATCAACTTCAGGAGGACCGGCCTGTGTGTGCCATACCACCTGCCGCCACCTGTGGAGCCCTGGTCTACGGACGCCAGGCCCCGCGGTGCGGGTGGGCCTCCGGGGTGGGTGTTCAGCGCAAGGCTTGTGAATCTGTCGAGCTGAGGACCCCAGCATGGAGGAGACCGTACCCGGCCTTGTCTGTGGCCAGCTGAGGCTGCCATCTTACAGGGCTTCCCATGTTCTTCTGCTTGCTTGGTTGTAAGAAGCAGCTGTCGATAGACTAGAAGACTGCACAGTTCTTGAAGCATTGCACATCCTGTGTAGATGTCAGGATCTGTCACAGTCCCTGAGAGTGGCTGTGCCAAACAGTAAACCACCAGGAGAGGTCTGTTGGAGATGCTCTTAGTCACTGTGCACCTACTGGATTTGCCTAGGAAAGAAATAAGGAACTTAAGATTCATTTGATGTTTTAGTTGGATCAGATAGGACTCCCATTGTTTGGGTTATTTCTGTTGTGGGGTCCTAAGGTACCACATCTTGTACTCTTCCCCGCAGCCACACTGAGGGAAAAGAACGGAAGTTGGTGTCCTCTGGCCCTCGGACTGGCTGGACTTGCCCCTCATGGTCAAGGGGAGCCAGGGGTCTCTGGTGTTGCTCCGGTGGCTGTGACAAGATTTGTGTCCTTGGGACCAGGAGATGAGGCACTGAGCCCACAGAAAGAGCTGTGAGACTCTAATTACTAACCTCTCGGAAGAGTAGCTGAGGACTAGACCTTCCAGAAGGAAGACTCTAAAATGCGGCAACAACACAGGAACCCTCGAATTCGTAGGGTCAAGCCTAAACTCGTGTCGGGATTCTGAAGAGCTCTGACTCCGTTTCTGTGCCTGCTGCCATTTATTTTCAGGGCTGGGAATCAAACCCAAGGCCCCAGGTATGCTAGGCAAGTGCTCTGCCACAGAGCTACGTTCCAGCCCAGCCTGTTGCTTGTTGTCTGATCTAGAAAGCCCATCAGAATAGGGTCCTAGAAATCACCTGTCTTGACTCCATTACTGTATGGACAAAAAACCTGAAGTCAGGAGGCTTCAGAGACCCCATGGCTGGTCTGCATAGCATCGTTGGGAGCTGAGTCTTCGCTGCCAGCCAGAGATTTCCCAGCATGCCTCCCTGCCTCCGTTTTTTGCTCCCGTGGCTGATGCTTCTGACTGCAGTGCTGGTAGGTATTTCAGACCGGCTCTGGCTAGAGGTGGACCTTTTGTGCTCTTCTAGCTGTGTGTGAGGGTCCCTGCTTCCCAGTACCATCACCAGCACACAGCTTTATTCTTCTTTGCTTTAATTGGCAGGAGTTTGTTTCATCTGTTGCACTGTCCTCGCCAGTGTAACCCCTTGAGCTCCAACTTTGTGCCAGGCCCAGGGACAGGGGCTGGAGGCAACAGAAGTGAATTTATTCTGCCCTGTTGGAACCCTTGTGCAAGTAACAAATGTGCTCTGGCCATTTCATAAAAATGCTCATGGCTGTTATGGTTCAGTGGGGAAAGACCAGTACTCCAGCAGGTGACATTTGGAGCAGCAGCAGAGTGGCGCAGCAGCCAGGTCCACCTCTGTCTGTGAGTCTGGAGGCATTTGTGTGACATGCATCCGGTGGGGCCTTTGGTGATGACTGGGACTTCAGGACATTTGGTTTGTGACATTGTGGCCAGAAAAAAGCTGCTGAAGAACCAGGGTGTGACATCCGGTGTGGCCTGGAATCTACACCATGATCTCACAGATCTTCCGGGAATTATGATCCCAGCAAGGCAGGTGATAGCATCCTGGCTCCTTGGGGGGGGTAATCAGTCCAGGTGGCATCACCTGCCAACAAGTGCCAGACCAGGGCTGGAACCCAGGGTCCTCTGTGCAGAGGCCAGGGTCCTCCTGCCGGCTGTGACCTTTGGGGGTATACTTTGGTATCAGAACTTTGGAGCACATGGTACTAGCACACTGGGGAAAAAAACATTGCCGTGTACACTTTGTATTTGTAAAATACAAAGTGAACCCTGACTGATCATTGTAATCATCAAGAGTACAAAAAACCACCTCTGTTGTCTGTTTCCCTGCTAGAACTTGGTCAGAGAATTGGTTACACTTGCTGAGAAGGGTTACCTGGTCTTGGGGGCAGGAGCAAGTACCTCGAGGGCCTTCCCTTCGCTCTAGGTTTGAGGGAGGTTGAAGTCCTGCGTCAGAGCTGGCGATTTTTCAAATCA